GGTTGGGTTGGAGGCTGTGATCAGTGCAAAGCATTTGGCTGTCGGTAGGCTTTGATTCCATAAATACAACTATTGAGTGCCTTCTATGGGCCACATAACTTTTCTAGGTAATAGGAATACAGTGAATGAGACAAAAATCCCTGCCTTCTTGGAGCTTACAGTTTGGTGGAAGGAGATGGTAAACACATAAATAAAAAGTAGATTATGTCAAAGGTAGTGAGTTTTGTGGAGAAAAATAAAGCAGGGACAGGAGCTAGGGAGTACTGGGGGTAGGGTTGGGCTGGGCAAGTTGCATTTTTATTTTATTTTTAAAATTTTTATTATTTTTAAAAATTTATTCATTTATTTTTGGCTGCGTTGGGTCTTCGTTGCTGCGCATGGGCTTTCTCTAGTTGCGGCGAGCAAGGGCTACTCTTCGTTACGGTACGTGGGCTTCTCACTGCAGAGGCTTCTCTTGTTGCAGAGCATGGGCTCTAGGTGTGTGGGCTTCAGTAGTTGTGGCACGCAGGCTCAGTAGTTGTAGCACGTGAGCTCTAGAGCTCAGGCTCAGTAGTTGTGGCGCACGGGCTTAGTTGCTCCACGGCATGTGGGATCTTCCCAGACCAGGGATTGAACCCATGTCCCCTGCATTGACAGGCAGATTCTTAACCACTGCACCACCAGGGAAGTCCCTGTATTTTTAATTAGTATATCTGAGAAGGCCTCATTAAGAGGGTGAGGGACTTGACAAAGGGGATCGATTATTGTTACAGGGATGTTTACGCTGGCTGTTGTTTGCGACCCCCCCCCCCCCCCCCGAAAATGCCTGTCAGACACAAGTCTAATTGTGGAGACTATGGGTGAAATATTTGAAGGGAAACTCTGGGACATATGGGTGCCTCATGTTCTGGTGGGTGGAGGTTAAGAGTTTCCTAAAGTGACCTGGGCTGACAAACTGGAGGGAGTCTGCTGGGCAGGGCTTCCCGGAGGAAATGACTTGAAAAGAGGAATAGCAACCACATAGTCATGCCCACCCTGCAGACAAAGTCTTGTTTAGAGGTTTGAGGCTTCACTGAAGACAGACACCCTCTCTGATGAGAGGAGCATTCCCATCATTGATTGGAGTCTTTCTCCCCCAAGCAATAAATCTACAGATAGCATTGAGAAAACTTTCCTTCTCTTACTGCTCTATTAAAACAAATACAAACAAAAAAGCCCTACTCTATCTATCTGGATTTTCTATCTGGAATTCAGATTCCTTCAGAATCATTATAAGTCAGGCTGGGCTGTTTGCTTCTTTTTCAACCAGACTCCTCTTTTTAATACAACAACCCTGGGCTCTAATAACCCACTCATATTCATCCACCACCTGCCTTCCCGAGCTCTCATTATCACTATGATTCCTAAGAGACCGGAAGGGAGAAGTACAGCAGACTTTCTCTGGAACATCAATGAAACGGGATAAGGAGAACTGGGTTTTTCGGGCTTTGAAGATTTTTTATTACCGAGGGACTCTGTGCCTTAGAAACTCCATATTATAGCTTTTTGTTGTTATCAGGAGTGATGCTTTGTACACACCGCTGTGCACAGGGACGTGATCTGACCTAGAATACGATAAATCCAAAGTACCACGCAGCAATTTGTAACACAATTTGAATGTATCTTCTCTCATTTTCCAAGAGGAAACTTCCCTTCAAGTACTTGTTCTCCTGTGACAGGGCCAGAAAACAATCTAGGGGAAGGATAGACCGTTGGATATGTCTTTTACTACATTCCAGAGACTCATTTAGTGTCTTCCCAGACAAACTTCTTAATTTCTTTGCCTTGCACATGATTATTGCTGAGGAACTTTGTGGCTTTTGAGAGGAACAGAAATTGAGATGCAAATTGGTGTGATGTATCTTTTTTACTTCGCAGAATTCTCATATGTAACCTAACCCAGTCATGCAAAGCAACAAGATCTAAGGACTTTGGATTTAATGAGCTACCCCCTGCCAAAAAAAAAAAGGTGGCAGGTAAGGGAAAATGTTAGTAAAAATTAAACCCATGTCTCTCCAGGCTTAGACTATATTATTTCCTGGGTACTAATACCCATAAGCGTCAGAAGTCATATTCAACCAGTCAATTGAAAAAATATCCATGCATCTACACACAAATATTTATTGACTATCTTTTAATGTAGAAAGACTCTGCTGAAAAAAAAAAAGAAAGAAAGACTCTGCTGACCACTGGGCTGTAATCTGTATCTTCAGTGAGCTTTACATTTTGGTGGGAGCAACAAGTTGACAACCAAGAAAGAATGAAGTCAGGGCTGGATAGAAGGGAAAGAGGTGTAGGGATTTTAATAGGCAGAATTTCTGCTTTCTCAATCCTCCTGGTCAATAGACGATGACTGTTAAAGTGATGTTATTTCCCCTCCCACCCCAGACTGACAGCATATCAGTGGGTCATTTCCTGAGCACCAATTATGTGCCACACAGGTGCTACACTCTTTCCGTGTGCTCTCTAATTGTCACATCGATGCTATAAAGTAGGTACTGTTGTTAATTTCATTTTACAGAAGAGAAACTGAGACTTGGAGAAATTAAGTAACTTGCCCAGAATCACATTGCTAGTGGTGGCAGAAGTGATATTTACAACCAGGTCCAAGACCCGGTTCTGAGGATTAGCACTTGATGGCCTAATTCTTCATCATTGCAAACATAGTCACGATAAAGAGCGGTGAACAATCTGTAGTTCAAACACTACTGGTGAATGGCTATTGTTGGTCTCTGGAACTGCTGAAACTGGTACCCAAGCCAGGAGCTGAGGAACTGAACCTACTGTAAAGGAAGAGTGAAAATGCCTATTTATTATTCTCACACTGAATAAAATCACACTTCAGACTCTGATATTTGCTCCAACCTTTCTATGTTCCATGGGGAAAAGGGAAGGTGAGCTGTTTTGCACTAATTCCTCCAAGTCTTCAGACTTTGCAGGACAAGAAAAAATTAAGCAGAGACCACACCTTTTCTGCACTGAGCTCTGTGGAAGATGAACTCAGCTGCCTGCATCATTTGCTTAAAGGCACAGCTGCAGGACAGCCTCAGCTGCAGTGGTTTGGAAACCCTCCAAAGTGGACCAAGACCCTCAGGCTGGTTTTAGCACCGTTGTTATTCCTAACCCCTCCTGCAGGGAGAGGGCACACCAGGAAGACTGCAGATGTAGGCTTTGGGCATATGGACAAATCAAGATGGTGATGCCGAAAGCTTGACCTCTGTGCACCGGTGCCGATTCCCATCTCAGAGACAGAGTTCTGGGTGAAATAGAAAAGAATAGCCTTATTGCTTTGCCAGGCAAAGGGGGACACAGTGGGCTCCTGTCCCGAAAAATTGTATGTACCAACCCAGGAGGATTTGATGAGTTTTATAGCAACGGTTCAAGGGTGGGGTTGCTGATAAAATTACGGTATGTGAAGGGCCTCCACTCCTGTAATCTGGTCTCAGGTGATCTTCTTGGTGACCTTCTCTGGTTCCTTTAATGTAACCTCAGGTGATCTTTCTCTGGTATGACGAATGCAGCCATTTTAAAGAACTTACAGACATTGTTATGTGTATCCCTTGAGACGAACTGGGACCCTGCCCCCAGGCTGCACTATTGTTTCCTGACTGCCCCTCCCTTGTCTTGCATCCCTTCCCTTACCTGATTAGCCACAGTTCAAATCTGCCCTTTGAACTCAGGGAAGGTCGTGGAGGCTGGAGTGAAGAAAGGGGGGACAGAAAGGCTTCTGTGCCCAGGAGCCCCACAGGGTTCTGCTAGGTTTCAGTGGTGGCACTGCCAGTGGCAGGTGGAATGCACAGGCTGACCAGGCCTTCCCTGCCTCCTAGTCTCTCCCCTAGCACAGATGTGTATTGTGCTAGGAGGAAAATTGCAATGGAGTTTGGCTTAGTTGTCCCTGGGGCCACACCTATAAGACTGGCTGCAGTGAAGGTGGGAAATGAGGCCTAGAAAAATCTAATATTGTAAATAATTTGAGAGCTTCTAAGTTAAACCTGTCTCATAGGGCCAGTATAGTACTTTATGGTCAGTTCTCCACTCTCAGTAGAAAAAAGGACCTTCTGGTTTGCTATTTCCTCTCTCTAGTCTTACTCTTTTTGTATTTCTGATGCCTAGTAAAGTGCCTGGCACATAATGGGTATTTAGTTAATGTTGACCAATCAATTCAGAAGGAGACCCTTGGGGGAAGCTTCAAGACTGTTTGGAAAATGGTCTTTCTGTTGGGTGGACCATGCCCTAGGAAAGGGAGAGCTGCTGGATGGGGCCTGGTGTTATCGAGTCCAAGCTCGCTCTGCTCACAGGCCAATAACTCGGGAGACGAGGTGCTGAGGCAAGGAGTAACGACTTGATTTGGAAAGTCGGCAGACCGAGAAGATGGTAGACTAGGGTCCCCCAAAAAACCATCTTATAGGGATCTGGATGCCAGTTTCTTTTATAGAACAGAGAGGGAGAGGAGGTGAGGAAGTAAAGTAAAAAGGCCATTTATCTTGCAAAATAGGAGGGGACGTGTTAATTTCTTCTTTTCTGCAGCCATTCACAGGTGGGCAGGGTCGGATTGTTTCCGGGTGAGCTGAACAAAGGCACTTTAGTTTAACATTCAGGCAGAAGGGCAGCATTTCCCCAGGCAGGCCATTATGTATGATTATAACAACAAAAGCAATGAAAAGCAAAGGTTAAAGTCAAAGAAACAGATCCAAGGTGGAGTCCAATTTAGCTCTTCCCTGTTACACTAGGATCTACCAAACTCCACCCTGGGGGCAGCCCCCAGGGGCGGCTTTAGGTGGATTCTGAATGTTCTGGAACTGGAGTCTGCAAGAACTTCATGTTGAGGAGGAAAATTCTACAGCTAGATCTGGAGAGATGGAGGTTAGAACCTCCTTCTAAAGTCAGAGAGGAAGAAGTACAGTCTGGAGACATGGCTGATGTTGTTACCAAACCCAGGCTTGGCTATTCCCGCTCAAGAAGCCAATACTGAGAGACAAGTGTTGGGTAAAGGAAAAGTAGCTTTATTTTGAGGAAGCCTGCAACGTGGGGAAAAGGTGGACTCCTGTCCGAAAGAACCAATTCCCCACTCCCCAAGTTTTAGTCAGGATTTATACAAGAAGTGAAGTAGGAAGTGGCTGCAGGCGTGCTGAGGGTAGTTACCCTTCGGAGACATGTACGTTAATAGCGTTGGAACTTGGGTGTGGTCGTTACGTTGTCCAGGTCAGCACATCTGTTCTAGGGGTCGGTGGGCATATATTTCTGGAAAAACAAGAACAAAGACAGAGCAAAACAGGCAAAGCAAAACAGGAACCAGTCCATCAAACCCCAGAGCTGTGTTTAGCTATTAACCAGCCCTTGGTTGTAAAGCAGTGTTTTTCGCTAAAAATTCAAATGATCTGTATTGAGGACTCAATCCAGTAATGCTAGAGGTAGAATTTAAGGTCGAGGGCAGAAAGAATCTTGCCTTAACGAATAGTATCAGGGGCTTCCCTGGTGGCGCAGTGGTTGAGAGTCCGCCTGCCGATGCAGGGGATGCAGGTTTGTGTCCCGGTCCGGGAAGATCCCACATGCCACGGAGCGGCTGGGCCCGTGAGCCATGGCCGCTGAGCCTGCGCGTCTGGAGCCTGCGCTCCGCAGCGGGAGAGGCCACAACAGTGAGAGGCCCGCGTACCGCAAAAAAAAAAAAAAAAAGAATAGTATCAGATCAGGCAGCCTGATGGAGAACACATTCTGGAGGCTTCCAGGCATTATCCTGGAGAGAACACATCCACCCATCCGAGCAACAGGCACTGTAGAAACACTTGGGACACAGATGTTGTGTTCATCATTTTGAGTAACTTCTGTTTCACAGGATCTTTTTCAGCAGGATCTCACTGCACTCACCCTTTATTTGCAGCTGCTTCAAGGGTGTCAAGCTGGGCCTTTAAATTCCACTGGGTGATTTAAAGCTGACGGTCTCCCAGGAAGAGAGGCTTTCTTTCTTTTCTGGGACTTTTCTCCAGATCTCATTTCCAAGCAGAGCTGCAGTCCTAAAACAAGGCCCTCCAGTCTGGACTTGCCTGGGAGAGATGAAGAGCTGGGCCAGCCATACCTGCCCTGCCCTTGTGCAACCTGTGTTATCTCCTTCTGCAGCAATTGCATCTCCTGGAAAGCAGCCAGGAATTTCCTGCAGAGCCAAAGCCTCAGGGGGAATTCCACTAAGTGGTTACAACATGCCCTCAGATTCCCAGGGAGGAATGCAGCCTGTTTGGAAGGTGCTCCTTTTCCTGCATTCAGCAGCAGAGCCCCTGGGAAATCTCCCACATCTGCAAGTGCCCAGGAGGAGGTCTTCCCTCCCTTCCTCTTTCCCATCATTCTCTCTACCCCGCGCTCCACCCCAGCCCCAGTATACATAGCCTTAACCTGAACACCACAACTGCCACAGGGGAAAAAGTGTGCAGAGAGGCTGCTCCAGATAAAATTATTCCTTTTAGTTTCAGCAATGCTGCCCTCAAACAGGATTCTGACTGCTGTGCTAATTCCAGGTCTCTTCCTTCAGTCACCAGCTCAGACTCAAGATTTGGACTTCCTTGCTCTAATGGGTGGCTCGAGGGGGGCTGGAATGACTCTCCAGTATACCTCCCTCATGGCAGGGGAGCTGGGGTACACTGCTGAGGCCTAGTGTTTTCCCCTTTAAGTTGCTGTAGCATCTGAAATTCCTGTGAATCTTCCAGGGCTTTAAAAAGATAACCCTGTGGGAGGATTTAAGATAGCAACCACGGGTGCATACCTTCAGTGTATCAGTCAATCAGAAGTTTCTTTTTTTTTTTGCAGTACACGGGCCTCTCACTGTTGTGGCCTCTCCCGTTGCGGAGCACAGGCTCCGGACGCGCAGGCTCAGCGGCCATGGCTCACGGGCCCAGCCGCTCCATGGCATGTGGGATCTTCCCGGACCGGGGCACGAACCCGTGTCCCCTGCATCGGCAGGCAGACTCTCAACCACTGCCCCACCAGGGAAGCCCGTGAAGTTTCTTTTTATTTATTTATTTATTTTATTTATTTTATTTTTAGCTGCGTTGGGTCTTCGTTGCTGAACGCAGGCTTTTCTTTGGTTGCAGCAAGTGGGGGCTACTCTTTGTTGTGGTGGGCAGGCTTCTCGTTGGGGTGGCTTCTCTTGCTGCAGTGCATGGGCTCTAGGCACGCGGACTTCAGTAGTTGTGGCACGTGGGCTCAGTAGTTGCGGCATACGGAATTAGTTGCGCTGCGGCATGTGGGATCTTCCCAGACCAGGGCTCGAACCCGTGTCTCCTGCATTGGCAGACGGTTTCTTAACCACTGTGCCACCAGGGAAGCCCAGAAGTTTCTTTATAATACCCAGTGAAGGCACAAGATTCCTAGAGGAAGAGGTGCTTCTGGAAGATGTGAGTTACCTGAGGAGGCTGGGAGAATTGCCCAGATGACAAGGATAAGACTCATTTTTCCTGGGCAGGACAGTTTTCTCTCTGCCTTTCACTCTCTGCATAGCTAAAGGCTCTGCTGAGAGAATGCCCTAGAAGCAGTTCTCAAAGTACAGTTCCCAGCCTTGTGGTGGTCTTAGAGAGTCTTCCCAGTGGTCCGCAGACTGGTTTAAATTACATGGGTGTAATTCCTCAGGATAATACTCCACCCTTGGGCTCCAAATGATGCAGAATTCTGAGGTGCCCTATTCTGGGGAGGGATTGCAGAATCCCATCATCATCATCATCATTATAGGACACTTCCTGCAATTCACAAATTCGGCCTTTAACATTCATTCATTTGACGAACTTTTATCAAATATATTTTTTCTGTGACTGTGTTAGGACAGGAGACGGAATAAGAAGACAGTGCCCCCGTTTTTCAAAAGAGCAAAAGAGCTTGTTTACCCTAGAAGACACATGTCTAAAGCAATAATGGCTGACAACATGGAACAATTCTCTAAATACTGACAGAGGAATGCAAAAGTGCTATGGGGACACAACCCATGTCTGCAGGTGCCAAGGACACCTTCCCAGAATAGGTGAGTTTCAGCAGAGGTTTGAAGGGTACCGTGCAGATGAGAAGGCAGACTTCTCAGGAGGCCAGATGCAGTGACCTACCCTTGGGAACATGTAGAATGAACTTGCTGAACTCCACTCCTTCCTTCCTTCCTTCAGAAACCAGATTTTCAAGGGAATTAGCATTGATTTGAGACCTACAGGATATATCCTACATGACATTTGGAGATGGAGGAGGGATTGGTATCCTAGGCTGAGGGACCAGCAGAATCAAAGGAAGTGGGGTGGGAGTTCAGGTCAGAGTATATGAAGAGGAATAGGGAGAAGTTAGGTTGGGGTCAGACCTTCTCACTCGTTGGCCAACCAACCACTTCATCCGATCAATTCCATCTTCTAAATGCAGTGCATCAGGGGCAGAATTCAGGTCCTGTCTGTCGTCAGCCTGTAGTCCTTGTGGCCACTGCCTGGTTCATTTAGACCCTCATCATCTCTTTGCCTCCCCTCTCAACTAGTCTCCCTGCATCTAGCTTCTTCTTCTAATTCATTATCCACACCACCATTAGGGTGGTTTTCCTAAAATTCAGGTTGTATTTTATCATTTTTCTGCATGACGTATCTCAGTGGTTCACCATCATTTCAGGATCGTCCCCAACCCTTAGAATGGCTTATATCACAGGGCCCTTTGGGATCCAGGCCCTGCCTACCTCCTGTATCCACTGCTCTCACACCCTGTTTTATTAAATAGATACACCAACTACAAATATGCTGTGTTGTTTCATACCTCCGGGGCTTTGCACGTGCTGTTCCCTCTCCCTGGAAAACTTCTGCATCTAGTCCTCTTAGTAACTCATTCATCTTATTCAACTTATTCATCCTTTAAATGTGGACTCAAATACCACCTCCCTCAACCTTCCCATACAGAGTTAACCACTGCGATCACTTATTTATATTTATAGTGTTACTCTTATCACTCTGCCGCTGGCATGAGCTTTTCACAGTAGGCTCTTCTGCCACATGCTGAGCAGCTTTAGGGCAGGAACCGAAATCTTGACTCATTTTCACTGCTCCGGCCCCTAGCAGGGGCTGGGCTCATCATGGAACAAAATGGAACAGACAGTTAAGTCAAGCTAGGCTGGGGTGCAGGGGCTCTCAGTCCTGGCAGCACACACCCATCACCTGGGCAACTGTAAAAATACCCACATCCAGGCCCCACCCCAGGCCAATGAAACCAGGATCTCTAGGGGGTGGGGCTGGGCAGGTTTGTTTGTTTTAAAGCTCCCAGATGAGGGAGGGAAGGGTAAATTAGGAGTTTGAGATTAACATATATATACTACTATATATAAAATAGATAACCAACAAGGGCCTACTGTATAGCACAGGCAACTACACCCAATATTTTGTAATAACCTATAAGGGAAAAGAATCTGAAAAAAGAATATGTGTATGTATAACTGAATTGCTTTGCTGTATACCTGAAACTAACACAACATTGTAAATCAACTATACTTCAATTAAAACTAATAAATAATTAAAAAAATATATTTATGTATTTATTTTGGCTGCTCTGGGTCTTAGTTGCGGCATGCGGGCTCTTCTAGTTGCAGCATGCATGCGGGATCTAGTTCCCTGAGCAGGGATTGAACCTGGGCCCCTGCATTGGGAGCGCAGGGTCTTAACCACTGGACCACCAGGGAAGTCCCAATAATTTTTTTAAAAAAAGCTCCTAGGTGATTCTAATATGAAGCCAAGCTTGAGAACTACTGGGGAGGCAAAGCAGAGGAATCTGAGAATCAGGGGACCTGAATCCTAGGCTCTGCCACTGAGTCACTGCAGGATCTTGGGCAAATGGGTTATTCCTCTGGCCTCATTTTCTCATCCGTAAATTGGGAGTCCTGAGCCCAATTTCTCTCTCTCTCTTTTTTTTTTTCTTTAGCTGTTTTGGGTCTTCGTTGCTGCGCGAGGGCTCTAGTTGCGGCGAGCGGGGGCTACTCTTCATTGCAGTGCGCAGGCTTCTCATTGCAGTGGCTTCTCTTGTTGTGGAGCACGGGCTCTAGGCCGCGCGGGCTTCAGTAGTTGTGGCACGTGGGCTCAGTAGTTGTGGCTCGCGGGCTCTAGAGCGCAGGCTCAGTAGTTGTGGCGCACGGGCTTAACTGCTCCACAGCATGTGGGATCTTCCTGGACCAGGGCTCGAACCTGTGTCCCCTGCATTGGTAGGCGTATTCTTAACCACTGTACCACCAGGGAAGTCCCCCGAGCCCGATTTCTAAGGCCCATTCCACATCACTGACCCAGGTGGGGAGGTGCGGGCAAGGGGGTGCTGGGTGTGGGGAGTACTCCTGGCCGTTGCTAGGCTCTGCTTTACCATCAGGTAAAGGCCTGATGGGTTGGGGAAATGAGCGTCTTTCCTGATCTGCCCTGGTCTATTTCTCTTTCTGCCCTCCCTCTCCCACCAGGCTAGGGTTTTCTGTTAGCCAGCCTCCGTGAGAAGCCGGGAGCAGTTCCCAGGCTCCCTACGACTTCACACTGCCAAGCTGAAGAGGGATCGTGGAGAGCCCCGAACTGGGGCTGCTCTCATGTCACTGGAGATGGTTTCTTTCAAGATGAATGGGCTGTACCTACCGCGTTTTCTTTTCAAAATGTCAAACTGCACTTCTGAGAGCACATGGAGGAGTATATAATTAAAGTGTTAACAGTGAAAAATAAATAGAAGTGGTGCTTCCCTTGTATTTTGCTGACTGACCTGGAGAAGCGGGACTCTGGGTGGTAAACTTCACTGCTGTGATATTTGGGCTGCTGGGTTGGGCATGTGGAGATTCTCCGATATGTAGTCACTGAAAACAAGGGCAGCCTCTTGCAGCCCCGGCGAACAGTTTCTGTCATCAGCAATTCAGTGTGTCCTGATCACACATGAGACTCTGTCTTTCAGTAATGAGCAAAGACAGAGCCCATGATGCCTCCATTTTCATTTGAAATAAATCATGTCAGCCTGTCTCTGCAGTCAATATGAATTTGATGTCTTGCAAAGAAAAGCAGTACAATCCATGATCCTGCCATCTGTTGTGTCCTGGTTTCCATATAGGGATAACGAAAAGATAGGGGTT